ATGAGTGGATGGATGGACAGAGAGATGGATGGACAGATGGATGAATGAATGAGTGGATGGATGGACAGAGAGATGGATGGACAGACGGACGGATGAATAAGTGGATGGATGGACAGACAGATGGATGGACAGACAGATGGATGGATGGACAGACGGGTGGATGGATGGATGGACAGACAGACGGATGGATGGACAGACGGACGGATGAATAAGTGGATGGATGGACAGACAGATGGATGGATGGACAGACGGATGGATGGACAGATGGATGGATGGACAGACGGATGGATAGATGGATGGACAGACAGATGGATGGATGGACAGATGGATGGACAGACGGATGGATAGATGGATGGACAGACAGATGGATGGACAGACAGATGGATGGATGGACAGATGGATGGATGGACAGACGGATGGATGGACAGACGGATGGATGGACAGACAGATGGATGGACAGACGGATGGATGGACAGACGGATGGATGGACAGACGGATGGATGGACAGATGGATGGACAGACGGATGGATAGATGGATGGACAGACAGACGGATGGACAGACGGATGGATGGACAGATGGATGGACAGACGGATGGATAGATGGATGGACAGACAGATGGATGGACAGATGGATGGATGGATGGACAGACAGATGGATGGATGGATGGACAGACAGATGGAGTCACCCAGAGAAACGTGCACACTTGTTTTCATATTTCCTGCTGGCTGACGTGGTGCAGCCAACACGTCCTGATCTCATTGAAGATGCAGAGAAAACTGAAAACAGACTTTTCCGACTGGAGTCCGACAGTTTTGGACGGAGGAACGAGCTGCGTTGCTGTTTTGTACGACCAGTTCTTGAAAACTGGGTCCTGTTTTTGATCAATTACATTTTAGGCCAAGTGAATTATTTTGTTATCGACAGCGTTCACTTGAAACACCTGCCGTGAAGTCCGTGCACGTTTATGCTCCAATAGCAGGAAATTAAAGCATAAACAAAATATAGATTATTGTTTAGTGTGGTGGGGGTACCAGACATCTCAGCTGTCATAAACTGCCACGACTTATTTTTTGCTGCCACTCATCGAGGCAGGCAGAGGACGAGCCCCGAGCGGCAACAAGAGACAAAGAATGAGTTTGAAGCTACAGGTTAAACCGAACAGGTGAACAGGTGGAGGGTGCGAGGCGCGACGTTGTCGAGACAAACAGCGAACAGGTTAAACCAAACGGGTGAACAGGTGCAGGGTGCGAGGCAGGACGTTGTCGAGACAAACAGCGAACAGGTTAAACCAAACAGGTGAACAGGTGCAGGGTGTGAGGCAGGACGTTGTCCAGACAAACAGCGAACAGGTTAAACCGAACACGTGAACAGGTGCAGGGTGTGAGGCAGGACGTTGTCCAGACAAACAGCGAACAGGTTAAACCAAACAGGTGAACAGGTGCAGGGTGTGAGGCAGGACGTTGTCGAGACAAACAGCGAACAGGTTAAACCAAACAGGTGAACAGGTGCAGGGTGCGAGGCAGGACGTTGTCCAGACAAACAGCGAACAGGTTAAACCAAACAGGTGAACAGGTGCAGGGTGTGAGGCAGGACGTTGTCCAGACAAACAGCGAACAGGTTAAACCGAACAGGTGAACAGGTGAACAGGTGGAGGGTGCGAGGCGCGACGTTGTCGAGACAAACAGCGAACAGGTTAAACCAAACAGGTGAACAGGTGGAGGGTGCGAGGCAGGACGTTGTCCAGAAAAACAGCGAACAGGTTAAACCAAACAGGTGAACAGGTGGAGGGTGCGAGGCGGGACGTTGTCGAGACAAACAGCGAACAGGTTAAACCGAACAGGTGAACAAGGTGAGGATGACGAGCTCCACAGCCTCACCTTGAGCTCCCTGTGAGCCTGCGCCCTCCTGTAGAGCGCCTTCACGTTGCTGCTGTCCATCCTGAGAGCCTCGGCGCAGTCTTTCACAGCGTCTCTGTACTGCTTCACTGACAGGTGGCACAGCGCCCTGCAGCCCACCAAACAACAAACCACGGTCAACACATGGAAACTCTGATTTTGAAAGAGTTGCACACAGGGTGCTCACCGGTTGGTGTACGTCGTCGCCTCGTTGGGGTTGAGTTTGAGGCTCTGGCTGTACTTGTCGATGGCCTTCTTGTGCTCTCCTTTCTTCACCAGAGAGTTGCCTTCTTCTTTCAGAGCCTGAGCTTTCTTTACGTCTTTGTCACTCGGAGCTGACGGGGAGGAACGAAACAGTTTGACAAATAAGATCCAGCAGCAAAAAGTCGTCTCTTTTCGATGGTTAAACTGGATTTTAAGCAGAAAACATTTTTCTTAGCACACAAAGTTTGAAATCCTGTCAGCGACTTCTTTATTACTAATAAAAAGAACAAAGGTCTCCGCACCAGGTTTGCTCGTTTGCTTGATGCCGTTCTGCTGCGGCGCAGCGTTCGGTTGCGCAGCGTTCGGTTGTGCAGCGCCGTCTGCGGCTCGTTGGGCGAACTTTTCCCTCACGGACAGCGGGACGGTCGGGATGGGAGGAAGCTTTTCTCTCCATGACGGTCCGTCTGCCTCTGCGAGCGCCTTCGTCATCCTGAGGGAAGAAGACGGACACGTCACCGTGCAGCCGAGCGACACTAAACGTTTGTGAGCAAAGCGGACGGACCTGTTGGTGCCGTCGTGAGCGGAGGCGACGGTGCAGTCGATCTGCAGAGCCGTTTTGTAGTCGACGTAGGCCTGCCTGTAGCGCTCCAGAGCTTCGTAAGCAGCAGCACGCCGAAGCAAAGACTTCATGTTAAAAGGTGCCAGCTCCAGAGACCTGACCGAGACGAGCACGTGTGACAGGTGAGTCCAACGCTGCATTTGAAATGTTTCATACAGTTTCATGAGAAATACACGTGCTTGATGTATTTCTGGAGATCTGGGCACGACCGAAACAAATCACCTGTTTTACAACTTGAAAAATGTTATGAAGATTAGAAACCGTGAATGTTTCAGGCTCATGAATGTAATGTTTGACATTTAGAGTAAAACGAAGTCTCACGTGTCGCAGTCCTTCACACATTCGGTACAGTTTCCATCCTTCAGGTAGCTGGCTGCACGGTTCGAGTACAAAATGGACAAATCCTCCGTGTTCTTCTTACCTGGACAAAAAAAAAGGTTTGTGTGTCGACGGTGACTCTCCCAATAAAAACAACCTAAAGCAGAGCCAGGACAGATCCTTCCGCTGGACGGGACTCACTACTGTGCAAAAGACTTGAGCGCAAGCTCTTTCAGCTGACACGACTAAAACACGTCTTATCTGCCGACAACACGCCGACAACGACCCAAAGTGGAAGGTGGTTTCCACATGAAGGCAACATGTATGTAAAAATATTTTCAGCAGCGCCACACGGAGAAAAACAGTAAAAGCAGCTCATGTAATTGTGACTTTCTCTTCACAGGTGTTTGCTTGGTCAGTTATTTAAAACTTAGAAGAAAACCGGCAGCGTAAAGTTTCCTGAGAGTTTAGTTTGTGACAGTGCCTGCTGAATGTTCAGGGCTGCTGATCTTGTGTTTAAACATCTTTAGTCAAAAAAACTTCTACAGTGGTTGTTTCCGTTTTGACATGTTCGTCACATGAAGAAGAGGAGCAGCTGCAAGCCACAAAAAAATGACCAATATTCTGGTTGGGTCTCTGTACGTAAACCACATAGGACCGAACATCTGTATAGTTTGTGCAGAACATGTGTACAGTTTGTGCTGAACATGTGTACAGTTTGTGCTGAACACGTGTACAGTTTGTGCTGAACACGTGTACAGTTTGGGATGAACATGTGTACAGTTTGTGCTGAACATGTGTACAGCTTGGGATGAACATGTGTACAGTTTGGGCTGAACACGTGTACAGTTTGTGCTGAACACGTGTACAGTTTGAGCTGAACACGTGTACAGTTTGTGCTGAACATGTGTACAGCTTGGGATGAACACGTGTAAAGTTTGGGCTGAACACGTGTAAAGTTTGGGCTGAACACGTGTAAAGTTTGGGCTGAACACGTGTACAGTTTGTGCTGAACATGTGTACAGCTTGGGATGAACATCTGTACAGTTTGTGCTGAACACGTGTACAGTTTGAGCTGAACATGTGTACAGTTTGGGCTGAACACGTGTACAGTTTGTGCTGAACACGTGTACAGTTTGAGCTGAACACGTGTACAGTTTGTGCTGAACATGTGTACAGCTTGGGATGAACATGTGTACAGTTTGGGCTGAACATGTGTACAGTTTGGGATGAACACGTGTACAGTTTGGGATGAACACGTGTAAAGTTTGGGATGAACACGTGTAAAGTTTGTGCTGAACACGTGTACAGTTTGGGATGAACACGTGTACAGTTTGGGATGAACATGTGTACAGTTTGGGATGAACATGTGTAAAGTTTGTGCTGAACACGTGTACAGTTTGTGGTGAACATGTGTAAAGTTTGTGCTGAACATGTGTACAGTTTGTGGTGAACACGTGTACAGTTTGTGCTGAACATCTGCAGTTTGTGCTGAACATCTGTACAGTTTGTGGTGAACATCTGTACAGTTTGTGCTGAACATCTGTACAGTTTGTGCTGAACATCTGCACAGTTTGTGCTGAACATCTGTACAGTTTGTGGTGAACACGTGTACAGTTTGTGCTGAACACGTGTACAGTTTGTGGTGAACATGTGTAAAGTTTGTGCTGAACATGTGTACAGTTTGTGCTGAACATGTGTACAGT